TTTTTTTTTTTTTTTTTTTTTTTTTTGGTACCGGGGATTGAACTCTGGTCCTTGTGCTTGCAAGGCAGGCCACCGAACCACTGAGCTAAATCCCCGGCCCCAATTTTTTTTTAATTACATAAATTCTAAAAGTTCTCCTGCTTCCAATGTTTCATAGAACCTCGTCCTTAAACAACATCATATTATGACAGTTCTAAGGGTGGTGACAACTTCACACACCTAAGTCAACAACAGCGTAAGATACACCCATTTGTCAAAGGCTGGCAGATGATTGACATCGAGGCAACATAGGAGTCACTCCAACATGAACCCTTTAGACCTTCTGTATTAGATTTTTGTTCACCTTCATGAAATCTGAAGGTGAAGCAGTTTTCAATCATTCAATCCCTAATACGATAGATATATGCAAAGGCTTTAAAAGGAAACAGAATCAGTAACGTGTTGGCTTTGTGCTTTGTCGCAATGACACTCAGGTGAGGGTGTTTCTGGCTGGAAGGAGAGCCAGTGGATCAGAAGGGGCTGGGCTAGGTTTGGGGCAGGAAGAGGATATGTGAAAATGTATAGCATCTTGACTTGGGCTCCTGTAACACAGAGAATGAGATCAAGGCTGGTTTGTTCTGGAAATGATTTCAAGGGAGAAATGTGGGAATTGAGAAGGCCAATCTGAGGACTATTACTAAATCAATAGGTACCGTGGACAATGGGGACTTAATTCCACTGGGGACCCTTTTGAGGAGCTGTGTAGAATGTGCCTGAAAAATGTCTCCCTGAGAACCGGAAGAGGGGACACTGGTTCCTCTCTTCCTGTGGCTTCAGAGCTGCCTTGTCCAGTGTTAACTCCCCCTAACTTCTAGGTTTGTTTTATGCCCTGTAATGGCTAAGGGGACACCTACAGATATGCTTCATCTGTAGGAAGCCACTGTTCCTGTCAAGTGGAGAGAGGTGGTTGGAGAATACAGATTTAAAAAATGTACAAATCAGGGCTGCTATGGTTTGAATGTGGTTTGTCCTCTGAAATTTATGTTGGAGTTTGATGCCCACTGTGCTACTGGTATGCAGGAGGTGGAAAGTTAATCCTACTGCAGTGTTGAAAGTTGGAGCCTTTGGGAGGTGATTAAGATTAGATGGAGTAAGGAGAGAGGAGCCCTCATGACTAAACACTGGCAGCTTTATGAGAAGGAGGGACACCAGGACAAATGCACTTCCTGTCTCCTGTCACACGATGGCCTACACCATCTTGGGACTCTGCCAGCAACAAGGTCATCACCAGATGCAGTCCTTGAACTTTGGACCTCCAGAACTGTGAGCTCAAACAAATCTCTTTATAACTAAACCTGTCTATGGTACTGCATTGTTATTAGCAACAGAAAATGGCCGAATAAAATGCTCTCAAATTCTTCCCATCTCTGAAAGCAGCCCCCTTCTGCAGTGTGGATTTTGCAGTCCTTTTTGTCAAGAAGTGGAGTCAGTTTCCCTGTCCCTTGAGTCAGGGCTTGGTTACACTGCTTGCTTCGACCAATGGGACAGTATAATATCCATTAAGGTATGTGGCCGGATATCAAAGGAAGTCAGTCTAGGGTATAAAAGAAATGGAAAGGTCAGTATTCAAGGTCCCTCCTTCTTGAAACCCTGGGGTTTTCTTCTCTGAATCTTGGCTTGGAGCTGGATCAAACTCACTGGGTTCCATCCCCATCGCACGACAATGAGCTCATGCTGACTAATTAGCATATCAATCTGCCCCCCTACTCCAAGACCTCTAGATACCCACAGAGACCTGCATGACCTCTGTTTAGAAGTAGCCTAGGAGAGCCGGTGATTTAGCTCAGTGGTGTCACCACCTGTCTTGAAAGCACAAGGATTCGAGTTTGATCCCTGGTACCAAAAGAAGTAGGCAAGGCTACTTTTATTCCTCAGTATATAATAATCCCTGAACACCAACATTATTTATCTCCTTGTGTTCAGACAAAATTGTTTGTTGGTTTTATGCGCTTTATCCTTACCATATCTTGGGCACCATAGATGAAAGCTGTACCCAGTCTTAAGCCATCCAGTGACCAGGGACTTTCACACATTTTTTTTTCAGTGCCTAATATTACAACTTTCCCATCCTCTTTCCTAGATACACATCAGAAAGGGGATAGTGCCTGCAGATCTGGACCCAATAGACACATGGAGGTTTTGGGGGACAACATGTAAATGTATGCACAAATGAACTCTACTGGCCAGGACTTTACCGTACTGTCCCAGTTGGCTGCGATGGAGGTTGGAAAATGTAATCTCTAGTCCTTAGAAATGTGCTTATTACTGTGGAAATAAGGGAGAAAAAGTATTGCAGGGGAAACAGAAATTGCTGCCACATCTTTTTAGTATTTTTGCTATTTTGGCTCAAGCAGGGGACTAGGAACGAGGAAAATGCCAAGATCAAAGAAGATACAGTTCTTTAGAATTTCCTCTATCCGGGGAATTCCCCCACCCTGGGTTATGAAAGGGAAACTTGGAGGAGGTAGGGGAAAAAAACTAATAACAGCTGGTAGCTGCTACATATATCAAGCACTTACTGTATGCCAGACACGGAGTGAAGAATTTCATACGCTTAATGTTGAGTTTCCATAGGGGGAAAATGGTTATCATTCTAAGCTTGTTGTGATAAATAAATGCCAAGCACTCTGCTATTCCTAGCATATAGAGAATGGTCAAAAAATAAGGGTCCCCAGAACTCATAATCGGATTGGTGTAGCCCAGCCAATAGGTAAACCTATCGTGGGTCAAGTGATCATCCTTGGTCTAATCAGGTTTGGCAGAAGGTGAAGTCTCTTGGTGCAAACAAGATTTATTGAAAGGCTTGAGAAGATTAGCAGGGTGATAAGGCTAGATTTCAGGGTGTGTGTCTACTGAGGGAAGGGCAGAAAAGGTGGGCAAAGAGTTCCTTCCAGATGATGTATGAAAACCCCAGGAAGTTCCTGCTGCAGTTGTCATGATTTCCCTTCCGTAAAAGTTGTTCTCCAGACGTCATTTCCTCTTCTCTAAGCCTCACTAAGCTCATCTGTAAAATGGGGTTATTTCAACTTGTTCATCCAACTTCCAGGCCAACTGTGATGATAACAATCAAACAATGTTGTGTCTATATGGTATCAATGCCAAATTCCCAGCCCTTAAATGCCATATAAATGCATAGAATTGTTAAATACTGAACAATAAAGAAAATAATTTTATCAAGCTGCTGAGGCAGATCTTGGTGAAAGGTCTCGGGTGCAGAAAATGCATCCAGTCTGGCTTACTCAACGAGGGGCTTCTCATTCCATTGAGGTTGAGGGGAAGATTCAGGAGGAATTTCAGAGGAAAAAAGTCAAACCTGATCTCTTACAGCTTTTGTCCCTAGGAACATGTGAGGACTTTTGCTTCCGTTTCTTACTGCATGTGGCTTCTTTCTCTGTACTTAAGTATGGGCTCGAGTGGTGCTCTGGTTTGGGCCTCTTCAGTATTATCTACTTCCGCTTACACTGTCACTCTCATTTAACTATGCTGTAACTATTTAACCTCACTGTACCTGGTATCACTCTCCAGGATTCAAAATCAGATTGGCTAAGTATAGTCAAGTGTTGGAAGGATTCCATTCTGTTTCGTATTGGTCCAATTAGGTTTAGACAGAGAGGAAAGGGAGCATTGGATTTCAGCCTGGAGACCAGGTTCAACAGGGGGCCTGTGTAGGTATTTGGGCATTTTCAAAGAATGAGACATAGGCTGGTAGGCTCCCCGATGCGAACTCTAAAATTGCATTGGACTGAGACCCATATAAAGACCGTTAGTGAAAGACTCAAAGCCATTTTTTTTTTCTCATTCCTTTATTTAGCAAGTATGTGCCAAGAGTTGATACCGGGCAGGTACCATTATAGATCACAGGGGACAAGCAATAAGACAGTTTTTGGCAAGTTTCATTTGACCAGGGAATCGATCCAACAAAGGAACACAGTGAAGGCTTCACAGAAGTTAAATCTGGGTGAAGGGAGAGGATAAAGGAAAAGGATGAGTTGGTCAACCGTATGGCGTATACAAATTGAGCATGCATTAAAATTACTTGGAAGATCTATTAAGACACAGGCTGCTGAGTCTGACCACCTGAGAATCAGACTCAGGTTAAGTCTGGGAGAGGAGCTGAGAATTTTCCTTTCTAAGAAGTTTTGAAGTGTTACTGATTATGCTGGTGTGCTTTGAGATTCAGTGATTTAGATGTCTGGACATTGAAAGATGGAAACACGGACAAGGAGAAGGACAGGTGACTTCAAGTGATGGCGTCGTGACCCAGGAGTTAGTGTTCTGGAATTGCAAGTGTTAGGGAACAGCTGGTGTGTTTTAAAAGGCGAGGGGAGATTGAGGGGTAAGCAAGGGATCTTGAAGGTCAAGGACAGGAATTTGAACTTCACTCTCTAGGTAATGGGGAGACACTGAAGGATTTTAGGCAGGGGAGGGGTACGTTCATATTTAGGCTTCAGAAAGAGCACAGTGAGTAGAAAAGGGTGGGGTGGGGGAACAGGGCCATAGGAGTCTACATCATGAGCAGCCTGACCACAGGCAGTCGTGGGGATGTTCAGCTTCTCCTAAAGAGCAGGACGGTGTCACAATCTTTGATCTCTAGGTCTTCAAGGCAGTGATTATTTCTCAGGTTCCGACCCTGGAACTTCAGGGTCTGATCCTCCACACAAGGTCCTCCAGCTTCTTCAATTACTTCTTTCAAGTCAAGGATGGTGTCATCAGGATTTATGGCATAAGGCCTGCTCTGGCCACTAGAATCCTTCACAAAGACCTGGATCTCATCAAGGGAGGTCTCCAACACCCGGATGTTCACCTTAGAGAAGATCCCATAGTATGCCAGGGTCTTCTGGCTGCTGAGCAGTTTCCTCTGCCCTCCTGGCTCCTGGAAGGAGAGGCGCTGATAGCCACAGATGTCATTTCTTATCTTGATCTCTGCCTTCATCTTCCTGATGGGGCTATAAGGATCCACTGAGAGTGTCCAGTCCTCCTTCCCTGTCTGTTTCACTGTCGCCTGAACATCCCTTGCTCGCTGGAAAGGAAGAAAGAGCAGGTAAAGGTATCTGGGTGGTCATGACTGTCTGTCGTCTCTAAAAGTTCTCCCTCTGGCCACTGATGATATAATTTATTATTTTCTGAGACATTTTCAAAAATAATAGGAGGCAGTATTCATAATTTTGTGGGACAACAGGCATAGGACTCTTCCAAGCAAAGGAAACTATTTGGACATTTTAGGTTTACAGAATCAGTAGGTCAAACTCTGCCCTTTGACTCAACACACCAGAGTAAAAATTGGCAACGGGTTTCCAAATAACACTCCTCCTGGGTGGGACTATTCTGTGTCCTTGCCTGTCACCTGGTGGTAACATTAGTACCTCCATGAGCCTTTCACAGTGCCATTGTGAGGTTCAACAACGTAATGTGCTGGATTCTGGAATGTAAGTTTAAGGACATTTATTGCAATGGAGGAAGTCTGAAGACATCTAAAAAATCTGCCACAGATGCTGGTCATATAAATTGAAGTACTTGAGTGTATTGAATTATCACATAGTTGCTGAAAAGACCAATTGGACCAAGAAAGATTGAATGTTCTGGTTCATTCAGTGCAGTCCTGGTGTAGGTCCCTTGACCTCGTGTAATTAACATTACCCCATTTCATGCTCGAAAGTGTTCTGATTTGGACTTTATGTTATGTGATTGTAACTGTTAGGTCCATACGTGAGGATAGGGAATTATCTTTTAAATGAGTTAATTTAATAAGGGAACAATCAATTGAATACTAATTTAAGTAAAATAAAAATGCATCCAGGCACATGCTTAGAAGGAGTTATGTGGAAGGATGAGTGGATGTTTGAGAGGTAGTATTTCTAAGTCAGGGTTGCGATAGGAGCGAGGACTTACTTATTATTTACTTACTTACTTTATTTATTTATTTGGTACCTGGTACCGAACTCAGAACCTTGTGCTTGTGAGGCAGGGATGGTGCCACTGAGCTAAATCCCTGGCCCAGGACTTACTTTGAATTACTTTTCAACAATTTGTTTTGCCTTTTTTATGTGCATTGGGGGTTAAACCCATGGCCTTTACACTGAGCTACATCCCCACCCAGCCTTTTAATATTTTTATAATTTTTTTTTTGTACTGGGGATTAAACTCAAGACCTTGCGCTTGAGGGGCAGGCGTGCTGCCACTGAGCTAACCCCCTGGCCCTGTATATTTTTTTAAAATTTTGAGGTAGGGTCTTCCTTAGTTATTAAATTTCCCAGGCTGCACTTGAACTTGCCATCCTCCTGCCTCAGTCTCCCAGAGGGCTGGGATTACATGGATACACCACCACATCTTGCCCTGGCATTGCTTTTCCTGTTTTCTTTGTTTGCTTGCCTCCCAGGAGCCGCCAGATCTGCTGGACATTCTCTAGTGGACACTGCTGGGTGGTAGGGCCTTAGTTATCTGTCTCATTTCAGTAGCTGTCAGATTGTCTTTTAGGCCGGACTTAGAATTTCCACACAGGCCATGACAAGTGGGACAGGTGACAAGATTCCTCTGTGAGAAGTAGGTTGGGAAATAAATTATCTCAAGGAGTTCACAAACAGAGTCTTGGTCCTGAACCCTAGATTGCTACTTAGAGTACTGGCCACAGAGTCTGGGCTGTGACCCATGTGGGAAAAACCTGTACACCATGAGGTGTGCAGCTAGGATTGTTGCCCACAACAGAGTCCTGTGATCCTCACTTATTTTGGGGGGTGGGGTGGGGAAAATGTCTACTAAATCTCTTGCTTATATAGCGAGAAGCTGCACTTTTGACAGCTCACAAAAGGAGAAACATTACCCCACAGGATATGTGTATGGGAGTATCCTGATTCTATCTCTGAATTGGCTACAGAGCAGAGCAGAAATTGCTGCTCACTTTATAGGTGAAAGAACTGAGGCCAGACATTTATCACAGAAGAGAACTTCCTATCTATTTGGCTGGAATGTCTGCATGGGAGGTGATTTCCTGTCACAGGACCTATGGATGCTGGAGTTGGTGGGGGCAGGTTCACATGGCGCTAACACGAGGGCAAAACTGAGTCCTGACCACAGAAGGAGAGTTGTACCTGTACATGCCAGCGCCCGCTGGGGTCTTCAGTCCAACAGCAGGCCTGCTGCAGGCAATAAGCAGCCTCTTTGGCCATCAGATCCCACCTTCTTCCCCTGGCCAGGTTGTTGGTGGGGTCAGCTGGGTCTAGGATAATGGGCCTGAGGAAAATAAGGGAGGCAGATCTCTGTCACAGTCAGGATCCTGGCTCCTGGCACTCATATGCAAGTGTGCAAGCCTTTGTGTAGGAAGGAGTCCTTGTAAGCTGACGCTTGTTGTTTAGGTTTGGAGATATAATCTAAGCTGACTTGGTCAGAGTGAATTTCTGAGATTTTGCTTGGAATGTTCCTTCTTGTCCTGGAACATATAGGTCCAGAGGAGAAGCCCAGGACTGACACAACCATGAAGGAATTAACGTGAATTTGATGGTAAAACCCTGGGAAAGACAGTTGAACAATTCACATAAAGGGCCTCTGATGACACAGCAAACTTCTGGATCATGCCATACCTGAACCTTCTTTTATCTTTGGGCTTTTCGGTTACAAAAGCCAGTAAGTTCCTTAGCATTTTTTTTTAAAACAAAGCTGTTCCTGTTGGATTTCTTGTTCCTTGAAGTTGAAAGTAATGCAACCAACATACTCACCTGCTCTTCTTCAATCGTTGTTTGATGAAATTTCTGACGGTCTCACTTTGGAAATCATAATACTTGGTCCAGTATATGCAAATGTCTTCATAATCTCTGAGAAGGGTCATCACAGCCGCAAGTCCTTCATCCATGTTGAAGTTCTCTTTTTGGTCAGTACCCATTTCCCAGGCATAGACGGTCAGTAGCTCCAGTGCATATTTTGGGGGCAGAGCTACTTTTTGATACTGAGGTTTCACATACTAGAGAAAGGGGTTGGGGAGAGAACACAAGATAACTGATGCACTAAGAATTCTCAGGTCACTGTCTTGTATTATGTAGCATAAGCCAAAGAAAGGCAGGGTCTAGGTGGACTTACGCCCTGGGGTTATAAAGATTTCAATGAAAGAGGACACTAGGGTTCCTGATGGATCCTCCGGGCCTTATCAATCCATGTTTTTCAGTTGGAATGGAGGAAGTAATATAATGAGTATAGAAAATAATTGAAGAAAAAGAAAACACACATAACATAAGACACAGTTGAAAGTTGAAAGGGAAAGAGTAACGTGAAAAGTGCAATTCCTTCTTCAAAGTTAATTAAAAGTTTTATTGCAATCTCACTTGGAATCCCAGTGGTATCCCCACCCCCAGTGGTATTTTAAACAGGATAAAATAGCCTTCAGATTCACATAGAAACATAAATGCCTAAGAAAAGCCAAGAAAATTACAAATTATATACATGTACCAACTTCCCAAGATGATTGTAATATATATGCACTGCAAATGTATACTAATAAAAAAGCAAACAAAAATTATGAAAAAGAAAAATAGTCTGATATTTGTCTTTTTGGTCATGACATATAAAGCAATTATAATATGTTTTTGGTATAAGAATAAGCAATAGTCAAATGGAACAGAACAGACAGCCCAGAATCTGTTCCCAGTAAATAGAATTTAGTCTTTTTTTTTTTTTTTTTTTTTTGTACTGGGGATTGAACTCGGGTCCTTGTGCTTGCAAGGCAGGCCACTGAACCGCTGAGCTAAATCCAAGGGCCTTGGAATTTAGTATTTGACAAAGGTAATATTTTGGATCTGTGGGAAAGAAACATACAACTCAATGACTGATGTGCAATTTGTTACCTATGTGGTAGAAAATAAAGTGATTGCAATGTTCCACTATATACCAAAAAAATTACAAATGAAGTTGCTGTACATATTCAACCATATTAGAAGAAAAATGATGTGGCTAATACATGCGTATAGAATACACATATGTCAGTATGTGTATATGTAAGGGGGGTCAATTAGGAAACATAATCTATAAAAGAAAAGTCAGACATTTATCTATGTGAAAATTAGAAACCACTGTGTTGTCCAAGGCAGTATAATCAAGATTATAGATGAATGATATATTGGTAAATATATCTGAGACACACATGAGAAATACTGTATACTTTACTTCTGCTGTTGTTACAATAGATTTTCACATGGAAGGTAAAACTAAGACCCTTACAAGAGGTTCTCACAAGGAAGGTAAAACTAAGTCCCTTGCTTGGGCAGTTCCTAGGAGGGTTTGCGTCCCTGTGAGAATCTAATGCTGCTACTGATCCGACAGGAGGCTGAGCTCAGGTAGTAACTGAGCAATGGGAAGTGGCTTCGGATACTGATGACCCTTCCCCGGCTCATCCACTGCTCACTTCCTGATGCCATGGACTAGTACAGTTCCTAACAGGCCATGCACTAGTACCCATTCGTTACCATGGGAATGGGGATCACGGCTCTGTAGATTACAAATAATTTCCAACGATACTAGTATTTCACTTACAAGGTTTAACCTGCCTGCTACCCTTAGTTGATTGTTCCCTTTTTTTTCTCCTTCTTTAAAAC